GTGACGCTAATTAGATGGAGAGCCAACAACCAGTGGATTCAACTCAAGAACCTTCGTTTGCTGACTTACCGGATGAGACATTGCGATTGTCACAACCTTCAAGACGACGCAACCGAGATGAAGACCCTCAAGAATGACATGTTCTTCCTCGAATAGATGGTGAGATACAACGCGTTTGGTATCACGACCTTGGAAGAGATTCTCGATGTTTGGTGATATTATTGGAGATAGGAACGACTCCTGATGGTGTTTCAAATGTATTATTTGAAGGAAGTTATGAAGGCCTCAACAGTGATCAAATAACAGGGTGGTCTTCTCGCCCTGGAATGGGACACTATCGATGGCTAAGAGGACCCATCAACTATCTTCGAAGAGAACAAAGATCAGAGTATGTAGCAAATACAATTCGCCGCATATTAGATTTTCTCAATATATAATCACCGCTCCTCGTGGAACTCGTCCCTAGAAAGGGGGGTAATATCACGGACATACATATAATTACCTATATGAATAGATAAAAGTATGTAAAAGTAGATAAAAGTAGGTTAATTGTGTAATATCTTCTAGAGAAGTTTCTTAGAAGCTTCATAGACGCTGCTTTGACTTTATAGGAGTCTATAGTTGACTTTTAGGTTAGAAACTTGGTCAACAAGTTAGCCATGTGCCACACATGTTGGAAGCTTAAAGAACAAGCTAACTACGTGGTCCATCCATAGAAAACTTGCCTTGCAAGCAAAGGCATGTGGCCTAGAAAGTCAACATATATTGGAGGTCTTATAGAACATCGCCACGTGGCTTCTAGTTAGATAGTATATATAGAGGCAAGAGTGAAGCCCTCTTCACTCTTATCAACTCCTTTCTTGCTTCTAGTCTAGTTTCAAGGGTCTCTAGTTTTCTTGTATTTTGGCAATAGCCATTCCAGTTTCTTTCTTAATATACATATTTCTATTTTGTCCTATTTCTTTTTGAGAAAAGTCTCACTTACTCTTTAGCTTTCATCGAGTTCTTGTCCTTGACACTAAGTTTAGAAGCAATTTTGCCATAAGATTTTTGAGAATGAAGAAAAGTAGGAGTGATGTTGTCTTAGAGAGAGCAAGAAATAGGTCTCATAGTTGTTTCAGGAATTTGTAAAGATATAAGAATTTCACAAAGAAATACATCAAGATTAAAGACAAAGAATAAAATTGATAGCAAAAGTAATTCCAAAGATTCATATTTATACTATAATGAAGGTTACAAAAGTCTATGGTACTTTCTATAGAAGTTTTTAGAAGTCTAAAGAGACTTTTAGAAGCCTATGGAATTTTCTAAAAGATTGTAGAAGTTTCTACAAGTATCCAGAAGGTTCTAAAAATTTTCAAAAGATTCTAGAAGGTCCTAGAATGTAGTAATTTGGAATATATCCATGTCAAGAATTGTGATTAAAAATGGTTCTTTTATAACTACTAACAAGCATTAATGATGTTATTAGATTAGTAATAATATTGTCATAGTAAATTTGATAATGATAGAATGTTATAATGTTGAATAATTGATAGAATCCAAAAATTAAACACCTCACTCAAAAAATTATTTTAATACTTCTCCAAATTAGATTGGTCATAGCTTCACAATTACTTCATGGATTCTTTTCATGGTAGCTTTAAGGAAATACTTTATTTGCTATACAAATCACATGTCATTATTTACTACAATTCATCTGTAATACACCATTTTTTTTATAATATGTCAATATTCAAATAGTTTTTTGAATCACTATATATATATATATATATATATATATATATATTTATATATTAGATATAATTGGAATCAATTTTTTGTAATTTTTTTAGAATTTCATTGATTTACCAATCTTCTACAATCTTTTAGTAAATTTCAATAATTCAATGATTTACCAATCTTTGGAAAATAAATATTTTTTTTAGAGTATTGTAAAACTTAGTATTTTTTATTTCATAAATACAATAAGAGGACTAGACTAAGAAATTAGAGTGGATTTTTTAGTCACGTTTTTTTTGTAAGATATCCCATTAAATATCTTTTATAAAATATATACAAATATTTTTCAAAATAAACTTAAATCAATGCTAATATCAATAATATACTTAGAAAAAATAAAATTTTTTCTTTTGAGATATATTCTTAATATTACTATAATTATATTATAAACCATAAGCTAAGCCAAATCTTCTAAATTTATTATTTTTATTAGAAATTGACTTTTCTAGAGCCAATGACAAAGTCTTATATGATTTTATATTTCATGCTAAAGATAAATTTTATTTAGTATCTAAATCCACTATATAAAAAAAATAGTTTTTGGAAGCTTAGATGGAATTTAATTTTTTTTTTTTTTGTTTTGTTTTTTTTTTTTTTTTTTTTTTTGAATTATTTTAATTGAACAAGGACATAAATCTTAAAAAATAAAATTCTCAATACAATTTTAAGTCACTGAAAAAGAGTAGATATTTATTCAAAGATAGTAATATATTATAACTAGAATGGCTTTTCTAAAGACAAGCAAACTAGAGACTCTTGAAATAAGATTAAAAACAAAAAAATGCGTTGATAAGAGTAAAGATGATTTAATTAGGAGCTACCTTATAATGTTCTATAGAATCTTTGACACATATCTAACTCATGGGACACATGTCTAAATTGCAAGGCAAGTTTCATCCATGTGCTATACACATTCAACTTATTGGCTAAGTTTCTAACTTACTAATTAACTAAAAATATGTTCAAAGTCAAATCTGAATTTCTGAAGCTTCTAAAAAGCCTATCTATAAGATATTGTTGAAACTAATTTAATGACAAAGAAGCAAAGCACTTAATTTCTCTTCTAAATATCATGACATATAATTCAAATATTAATCCTATAAAGAAGTAATATTTAACTAGCTACTATGGCATAAAAATAATATGAGTTAATATATAGAGATATTTTCTAATTGGTTCAATCAGCCAAAGGCAATTTGAAGGAACCAATCCAATGAGTAGATTCAAACCAATAGGGTCTAAGAACAAAAATAAATGTAAGTTAAAAATAACTAGCCTATATAAAAATTAGATTAACAGAATCTAAATTATAGAAGTTAGATTAGAAATAATCAACTATCATAAAAATTGAATAAATATGGTTTAAAAATAGAAAAAAATACTTGTCCTAAATAAAACCAAATATCTTGAATTTTAAATTGGAATAAATTAATTTAAGAGAGCATATAGCTATCCAAAAAAAAGATGGTTAATTACCAAAAATTAATCAAAATAATATGAATAATAACCTAGGTTGATAATTTTAAGAGAAGAAAGAAAAAAAAGAACAAAGAGATAATATCAAATATTAAGTACAAAGCCAAATTTATTATTATTAGTATTATTGATATAAAAGTTTGAAAATAATAATAATTATATATATTAATTTCTTTTTAACATATATTTTTAGCTTCTTTTTTATTTTTATTTTTATTTATCTAAGTTTAATGCTTGTAGTTTCTATTAAAGTTGAATTATATGCAATTTGATTGAAACTAGTAATTTATATAAATTCCTTCTAATTTAAATTTTGGCCATAATTTTTTAATTTTGACATATAAAAAAAATATTTTTAAATTGATACTTGCAAATCAATATCTAACAAGAAATATTTTTATTTGATTTTTTTTAAATTGATAGAAAAAAATATTTAAACTAAAGATAATATTAAAATTAAACTTCAAATCTACCAAATCTTGAAGCTATTTATGTCTAAAGTACCAAAATTTGGCCATTGGATCTATTAAATAATAAGTTTAATTCACTTTAATAGTAGTAAATAATATTAATCTAAATAATTATATTTACTTAATTGCTATTTGATCAATGTAAAATCAAAGATTAATAATATCAAGTTAGTACAAATATTAACATTTATTTTTCTTTGTATACTTTCTAAAAATAAAAAACTATTATTAACAGATTTTGGAATTACTATCAAGTTGGAAGAATTTAGAATAATCCCACTTCTATTTTAAATAAATTGTTATCTAGTCCCAAAAAATGGGGGCCATAGAATGCTTTTACATAGAAGCAAGTCATTTTTGTAGATAATATCTATTCATAATTTAAATGCTTTTATAAGTTTTGTTCATTGTTAAGAGAATCACACTTGTGGATAATCTGGATTAAAATAAGAAAATTTATTTGTGCAATTAAAATATGAAGTGACCTTTATACTGAAAAAAATAAAATAAAAAATGATTTGATGGAGTTTATTAGAATATGAACAAATCAATTGGAAAGTCTTAAAAGAAAAAATTGACATAACAACCCAAAGTTGAGACAAATCGTATAAAACAATCAAACAAATCTTAAATGATAAGACACCAAATCAGTCCTATAATGTAGAAGACAATGAAGTGGAACTTTATACCACAAAATGGTGTGATAATCTTTGAAAGTGAAGAAGAATGGTCATCAATAATTCACCACATGTCACATTGTTCTTCATTTTGCCCTACTAGGATATATTAAAAGTTAAATATATCTTCAATACTTTTCATCTCTTATCAATGCATTGAGTATACCCGGTTTCTGTGTCACAAGGAAAAGAAAAAGAGACACCCATGAAAAAAAAATCCTCGAAACTATCAAGGATGTGCCAAGGGAGCGCTGTCACTATAGTATTTGTTCGTTCGTCCACCCGTCCGTCCACCCGTCCGTCCGGTCTTTCCGTTCGTCTGACGGAGCGCGTAAGACCATGGTGGAACCAGAGAAATCAATCTCGAGCACTTTGAAGTCCCTCAACATACTGTGATCATTCAACCGCCTGACTCAAGGCCGTGGCATCCAGATCCCGACCCGCACCGGGCCACCCGGTCTCCACACCCCCCACCCGGCCTGTGCCCGGGATCATGCCATGTGGAGCCATGATCACGCATGCCCATGGAGGGAGGGGGGATGTGTATGTGTGGATGGAGTCATTCAAAGATGGCGGTCTGCCAGGGCCACTAGCTTCCCCCCTTTCAATCTTCCCTGTCTGTGGAGAATTGGATTCCTCCCTTCCCTCCCCCGCCCTCCCTACCTCCCTCGCTCAATTGCGCTGCTACACCTCGAATTCCTATGCACTCGGTGTGGCAGGCAGGGAATTGCGCGCTGGCGCATGTTCTTGTTGGAATGTGAGGGGTTTTGGAAAGTTTTGGAGATTCGAAGCGATTCGGAGTTTACAGGTAGCTAGCGGCGGCTTGAGGCTCGATTGTGTTTTTGTTTTTGTTTTTGTTTCTGTTTTTTTTGTTTTTTGTTTTTTGTTTTGTCTTGTTTTGTTTTGTTTTTTTTTTTTTTTTTTTTTTTTTTAGATGCGTGGTGTTTGAATTGAGAAGGGATCACGCTGCGACAGATTTTCATCGCTTCGTGTGTTTGTGGGAGGGAATTCGGTTAGTGGTTTAGTTGTAGCTCTACTCTGTAATTGTGGAATTGATGGAGGAGTTTGTAATGTGGAATGCATGAAGTGGTGGTAGTGAATGAGTAGTAGAGTCTTTTTTTTGGATTTTCTGAGGAAGATTTTTTTTCTTGTCAAAGGTGAAGCAAATGTCGTTTAGTAGGTGCTGGTTAGTTTAATAGTGTTGTATGGTAGTTTTCACTAAATTGATGGCGTGTTTTCCAGCTGAAGGTTTGTGCCGACGAGCTCGCGTTTTCAGCTGAGGACATTCTACTCACTCTACAAGTTTGAGTTGCATATTCTCATCCGGATTTTAATTTCAAAGCATATTGTGCCTGCCTATTGGGCTCCGGTTTTAGTTAGTAAAATCGGGGCCAGAACATGGAGTCGGTTGGGATGAATACACGGTTTGATTCGACCAAGGGTGCTATGATTCCAACATCAGGTCAATTATCTAGTTATCATCATAAAAGCTTATCTGAGACCCGGAGGCTTAAGACGTGGTGCTTTTGGTCCACAAAATTTACGCACAGACAAGCGATTCCTATCCAGTACAAGTTTGCACCTCTGAATAATCATCGGCATCTCAAAGTGCTTGCATTTTCAAATGACAACGATGATTGGAGTAGTGACGATGACTATGAATGGGATCCTGCATTTGAGATTGAGGTTCCTTCCGACCAGCGCCCGGTATGTGCCTTTTTCCCTTTTCATTTCTTATAATTTTAAGTGTGTCGAGCAGATACAGTTTTTGAAATTTCAGGGTTTCTGCCCTGACCTTGATTTTTTTTCTGCGTGTAACATCTGGATTCGGACATGACAGGTGAATGAACTCGCAGCTTTGAAGGAAGCTACTCTGTATTCATGGGCACAATTAAGCGCTGTCGAATTCGGGATTCGTTTGGGGGCACTCTGGGTGTTTTTCTTCTTGTTACTTGGTGGACCTATTGCTGCTGCTAGTTTTGAGCCCACACGGGTATGGTATTTATTCACGTGAGACAGTTACAGTGAAAATCCTTGTTATTTTTGAATATGGAGTAATTTCTTAAGATTGATCCGGATTTTTGTAAGTTGTCACGCAACAGCAATTAGTGGGGCCTTATCTGTATGCATTTAGTGGTTAATACGTAATTCCATTTTGTCATTTAATTAGTGGTTACTTCCTTAAAGGTGTTTACATCGAGCTGGAAACACGTCTAGGTGTTAAGGCGATGCTTCCAGTAGAGCAGTCATCAGAAAAACCCTCGGCTGTATTTTACGGAACTATTTAGGATTAGTGTAAATCTCGGCAGAGTATTGCATTGTGGCAGACATTTATTTGGGGGTTTTGTATTTAAGAGCTTAAAATGTTGGCAGCAACGTATGTGGGTTAGAATCTGAACTCTTTAAGTTACTAGTTAACACATCGACCAGGAATATCCAGGATCATCGTCGTTCCTGTACGATGTCATCATACTTTGACAGCAATACATCGTGTAGAGATATCTATCTTGATTTGAAAATTGTGTCTAAAATGCTGCTTCGCATGTAGATGCATCTGCACTGTGGTCTTTGAATTCTTAAGTAGTACATAATATAGCGGCAGTGTACGAATTTATTACTACTTGAATTAATACTTAAGGAACTTGATCAAAAAGAAAGATAGAATTTTATGTTGAGAGTTAATTTTGATGCGTGAGTTAGTGCGTTATTTTGCATGTTTATCCTCAGTAATTGTGCGGAATAATCTATTTGTGTTGAGTATTCGGTTGTTTCGTTGGCTTCGGAAATTAGCTGGTTGGTGTGGGGTATCAGCACATAGTGCAGTTGTCCTTGCTTGACTGTGCTTAGATTTGAATTTGGATTTAAAACAATTTCATTGTTCAGTGTACATGAGAATTTGTTCCGTGATAATTTCTGATAGAAAATAATGTTGGGGTTTGCAGGAACCATTGAAATTCTTTTTGGCAGGAGGTGCTGGATCATTGTTTGCTGTTTCAGTGTTGGTGTTGCGCATGTACTTGGTAGCTCCCCCTTCTGCATTCTCACAGTTGCTTAACATGTTTGTTGAGAAGTGCTCGAGCGTTAACTGGTCGATGTAATAGGTGTTTGTTGACGCACACACGATATCTTATGCAAGTTCGATGTTCTGGGGCTTTTAAAGAGTGAGTAAAAGTGTGGTTTGGCATAATTTGTTGCAGTTGCACCCTCCAAGGATTTGCATAGCTACTGCGAATGGATAACGCTATATTTTTTAGAGTGCTCATCACGTCGCTCTAGGTTTTTGTTAGCTATCGTGAAACTAACCGATCAATAGAACACTACTTACAGTGACTTTTCTTTCTGAATGCAGGGTTGGAGTTACGTAGGAGACCGGCTTCTTTCAGCAGTTGTGCCATATGAGGAAACTGGCTGGTATGATGGTCAGCTTTATGTGAAACCACCAGAGGTACGAGTTGTGGTAGTTCTCCACCGATATCTGTGTCACATGTTAGAACTGATGAATTAGCTTTATTTTCATCATGTAAGTACTGTAAACCTTGTGTTTTTAAGATGATGTCTGACTTGGATTTTGGCTGCAGATCCTTGCCCGAGATCGTCTACTAGGCTCCTATCAGGTTCGAGCACTTCTTAACAAACATGTTCATGTTTCCCGTGAGGATTTTTCAAATAAATTTGATAGTCGAAGAAAGAGTGATTTAGTTTGTGCATCTATAGTTTGTTGGACATCGAATCTTTCTGGCTAACCCATTCACTGTTACAGCCGTTTCTCAGTTGACGTTGATATAGAGAAATGGGCTGAAATTTCGAGTATTCAATTTCGGAATTTGATTGGTGAGTGTCTGAATCACAGGTGAAGCCTGTTATGAACCGGCTGAAGCAGACACTTATTGGAGCAGGAGCACTTTTGGCCACAGCAACTGCAGCTTTAGTAATACTGTTGCCTCCTCAGCAAGATATGGATACCGTTATGTACCCACCTCCGAGGAATCGCTCGGAAGCCATTGCGGCTGACAATAAAACCGTCCTAAGGTAACAATTTTTGTGCTTTTTTTTCCTAATCCCAGATATTTTCCTAAGGCACATGAAATATTTAAGTTACTGCCTTCTTTTGACGTAGGTGTTCATACATTAACTTGATATGTGATTGACACCACTTCTCGAAGTTTCGGCTGATAAACACAGCATCTCTTGTGCAGGAAAGTAAATATTTTAAATCCTCCTCCCGAAGTGATGAATGATGATGACATGGCAGCTGCTGCAGCTTCTGCTGCTAACGGTAGGCCAGCGTACTGTTCAGACCGTTACTATCGAGCTCTAGCAGGTGGTCAGTACTGTAAATGGGAGGACTTGCGAAAGTAGATAGCCAGCGACTCCACTTTCACCACAACGCATTCGCATCGATAAGAAATTGCTTACAGGCAAATGACGATTCTTCACATTGTGAACGCTTCAGACACGCTCGTGTTTCAGACATGCTTCAGTTATATCTTAGTTATTATTTTCTGGTGGGCTACAATCACCGGTGAAGATGCCTTGAAACATTGGTGTGAATTGGGGTTTGGTTCTCGGATTAGTCAGTGGAGACCATTATTAACTTCATAAGAACTTTCTGTACCGGAAATCTGCTAATCTAGGAAAATCTCGAAGAGATTGTTTATGAATTTGGAAGTCAGGCTTTACCAGCCTTGGCTGCACTTAGCAGTATCCTAGGCTTGTACTTGTAGAGTCCTGAAGGACGAGTATCTTTGAAGAAATGGCGTTTTTTATGTAACTTTCTGATTTTCGGCTGCGATTTTATCCGAGCATTGATTCCCAATCAGGATCATTATTAGAGTATTTTTTAATTCTAGCAAAAATAGTTGCCACTTCCAGTGATAGTTGTTAACACATTGAAAATACAAGAAGCTCTAGAAGGCAAGTTTTAGAAAGAGTGGATGACCAACACATGAAAGAGGTCCTGGCCCTACTAGTTCTTTAAGTTAGTCGAAAAATCTTTAATGCAAAATAGAAATGCAAATGCAAAAAAACACAAATGCACCTACAAACGCTGACTAGACAACTAACTTTTCACTTCGGTAGCAACCTGCATAAAGGTAGATGAAAGCCTTGCGGCAGAGCACAAAAAGATGAATTATACAATCGATTGGACTGGAATGACATATTCAGAACAGCGAAAAGTGCCCGAAATCAAGGTTTAGTGATCCCCATGCTTCCAACTCAATAATTTACTAGCAGACCACCGTATTGGGACCTAGAAGATTGCATGGATTGCAGAGATGGTGAAGCAGCTCCAAAAACATGATTGTCACAGACTATGGTCGCGCGCTACACCACGGGGTTTACGACAAGAAAAGCAACTCATGGTTCCGTTGTCATCTACGTGAGGTGACAGATCATTCGGGGTTACCATGTCTAATTTATTAAAAATCGATGCATTGATTTAAATGAGGTATTGAGATGAAGCAACAAGAGAGATAAGGAGTTTTTTCAATACTTTTTATTTTATTTTACCAGAGTCATTTTGGTATACTTGTGTGTGTGCGCACATGTGTATATATATATATATATATATATATAGGAATGATAAGTAGACCCAGGCTTTTAGTGAATTGATCCATCCATCTTAACCATCCTAAAAAGAAAAAATGATGTCTTGATTCATTTCTCTATTATTGGATCTGAAACCAATAAAACCAACCACATTCATCATGATTATCATATTTTTTAGCATGGGTAGGTCAATTTAATAAAAAGTTGGGTCTATTTAACATTCCCCCCAAAAAAAATATATATATATATATATATATATATATATATATATCGTTCTTTGCTATTGTTGAGTAACCGAATGGTACTTTTGGAAGGAAATACAATGCTTTCAAAAATGAATACATGCATCATTCGTTCTATAATGCAGGTAAAAATTAATGCATATAATATATGTGGCATATGTCAGAACTAAAGCACAGATTTGAGGATTCAGAAATTTAAGTGTTCAGTTTGCAATAAATATAAACACAATTGTCAATATAAAACCACTATATTATAACATATGTGGGTATGACCCAATTTTAGACTAGAATGACGAATATAAACTGAGGACGAAGAGCAAATTTAGTCAAAATTCTTTCAAATTCAGTGCACTACACAACTTTTTAATAAGATCGTGATGGTTTGAGTGAAATTTGAGAAAGCATGAAATTCAGTTTGAAACAGAAAACCTATGAAAACAAAGTTTCTGAAAAAATTGGTCAGCGAATTTGCAAAAGACTGATGATTCGTGATACGAGTAAATAAATTTTACGTTGAAATTAACATACTGATCATTATAAACATAAACTCATGAACTTGTTTGGAATAAATGTAACATAATGATAAACTTTCTTATAGTATTACTATCATAGAAAAATATTTTGTATCTTTTAAAGAAATCAGTGCATGGTTATTTAGTTTGTCAAATAACAGCCCTTCTTTGTAGATTGAATAAACGTAAATGTATTGATTATTATTTACAAATTAATATATTTAATTTGTGAATAAATATGAGTAAAACTATCAGAATTTACACATTAAAGTAGGAATTCATGATCCATATATATATATATATATATATATATACACACACACACAACATTTTTTCATGGAAAATAGTAAAGAAATCTTCAAATTTTAATTTACAATTCATATTACATTTTGCTTTAAGAAATTAAATAATCAATCATAGGATAATAACAATAATCAATAAAAAATCAACAAATCCTTTACAGATTGTTATTTAGACTTTGTTATAGAATTTTAAGTTGAATTTTAATTCTTGAAGTATTGATTTTGCATACGTTTTTTTCACGACAAATTATTCACTTACAGACATTTGTGTAATTTATTCACTTAAACTCTCATGTTGTTTACAATAAATCTGGGGAAGAAACTTAACCATCGAAAACTATTCCCAGCAAGTTGTAAGCATCCCATTGACTAAAAGGCTCTTATCTAATGTATTCATAAACAATGTGCCTTTATAACTCCAAGAAAATTGTTTGAAAATAGTTTTGTGTGGTATCTGGGAAACCTCAAAAATATTATTTGACAAATGCTTTTATGTGATGCCTGAAATATTTCTATTAATTTATTGGTGAACGTTTTGTGGATAATTTCGGAAATAGAATGTGAACTTAAACAAATATCACCATTACAGAGAAGTTGAGGTAGGAAGTAAAACCTAAAAAACAGATTGCGAAATCATTGGTATATATTTGGTCTTAGGTAGGTAAAACCATAGTAATGAGTGTGCAAAACAATGCTATATATATATATACATACATATACATATACATATACATATTGTGAAACCAAATTAACTATAAAACTCTTTGCATGAAGTTTTCCAATCTCAAAAAAATAAACTACATTGATTGGATCTCATTGAACTGATACCAATGTTGTAAGTGTATATTTTCAAGCCAAATTTAATTACTCAAAATTTCCGCATAGCTCCATCTCATGAGATTAGTAGATAAGATAGCTTAATTTTGCTCACAGAACTCAAACCTCACAAACCTTGATCAAAAATATAAGGATGAAAGTGGGACACGTGATGAGGAACCCACATTTCGAGAATTATTTATCCATCGTTGCTCTGGATTCACAAATTTTGCAGCCTCCCAATTGCAGCCAAAAATCTTCAATTGATTAAACTGGCCAGCTGGAGTAGTGAGCTACATGGGCTGGGGTTGGGTTTGGGCCAATTTAAGTTGACGAACAGAAAAATATGATGGAAAAAAGTGAACATTTAATGGCACAGTATTCCTTCTTAGTGTAGGTTTCCCCCCTTGTCCTCTGCCTCGGGGATGATGCCTATTTTTGGACTCGATCCTTCTTTACACTTTCTCACGAACCTTCAAGTTTCTATTTGTTGATCCACTTTTGTCTTCAATATCAACTTTAATGGGTATCATCAAAGTTTGAGTTTTAGGTCCAAGAATTCCTGTCATACCTGATGTGGGATTAGATTAATGCACAATTATATACAACATAATTGGTGTTGAGTTGTATTCAAATTCAAAACATCTTTGAGTTTCTTTCTTAATTTTTTCTATATATATATATATATATATATACATGTATAAGTGTTACTATTTTTACCCAACATAGTATTGCACTCACCACACCGTCATTATTGTTGTTGTTGTTTTATGACATGTTGAATTTTAGCAGCAATTTGACGTTTGGGAAGAAAAATATATGTTCTCTTGAGACCCATACGAGTATTTTGGATGCGACAATGGACGCGGTATTCGGTTGGCCGTTGATCCCGAATTTCTGGTGGTGCAGCGCCACGACGCTGCCCTTGGGGTAGATTGCGTTCAGTTGGGGGCAGGTCCGAATCTCCTTGGCTGGACCAGATAACCGGAGGCGTGGTTTTGTTGGCATTTTGAATGGATTTGATTGTGTGGAATATGTATTTCGGTGTGCTGTTGGGTATTGTCGTGAAGGGCCGATCCGTCGTTAATAGAAATTCCCGAGTGCTTGTGCCATGAATCGCGGAGTGTTGGACGCCGCGGATGATAGTTGTGGGAGAATCGGCTTTTCTTCGTGAATCACTCTGGCATCTGAGTGTTTTTTCTGTCGTCGTGGTGGGTTTAAGGGTAGGGCGAGACAGACAGTGCTTGTGAATAGTAAGCTTTAGACGAGAACAAGGTTGAAGGAGGTTCTGGAATAGTTGTGTGTGGTTTCCGGCATTGCGCATTCCCTTGAGTTTTAACTCGCTTCCTGTCGTCGTAAGAGAGCGTGGGTTGGAATCTTAGTCCTAAGGAGAATGGAATTGGAATGAGGCTTTTTGCGGCACGTGCAGTGAGGTGAAACGCCCGGCACTTTGAAGCGTACGGGGATAGGTACTGAGGTACCATTCCATGGAATCTCCGGCACAGTGCGCGTTCTTCGTCAAGTTTGATCAACGTTCTGCGGAGAAGCGGAGGTTCATGTGCTCAGGTCCCACTTTGGACAAGTAAACGTGGTTTAAGCTTTGCGGCTGTGCCACAGCTGCTTGAAGTGTTCTGGAGCTGGCTTTCGGAAGCAACGTCTGCCGGTGACTCAGGGTACTGCAATATATTTCTTGGTTGAAGTACGAACACAGGGTTGAGTAAAAGTCTACGTTGCTATGGTGTGCTGTGAAAGCCCCAAATCCTTGGACCTTTGGTGGTCGATGTGGTTCTTCATGCATTTCAATCGCGACGCCAACTTCTCTGGTTTTGACCTCGAAGACATGTGCTAGTAAACTAGTTCGAAGTTACACAGTGAGTTTGTGATGACCAAGAGTGTTGAAGCTATGTCACTGAAACTACTGTCACGTCATGTTGGTGTCGAGAGGTTCGAATCATTTACAGAAAGTATGTGTTGAAGCCTATCGTTGCCATGAGAACAGATAGTGTGCGGTGAAGGATCTCTCCATGATGTTAGAAAATAGTTTCTGCTTCAATCTGCAAGGCGCCTGAGTAGTAGAAACTGTTTGACTTTGTCTACACTAAGTCTGCACAACATCTTTGCGTGACACAGTACCATTGAGTCATCGTGTGCATGGAAACCTTCAATTCACGGCAACTATTGGTTCACAGTTTATGGAACGAAGCAGACACTAGAAGAGAAGGATTTGTTCGTAGAATTTGATACTTATGGACTGACGATGAGGGTTATGTATCCTACAGGTGGTCGCTTAGAAGCGACGTGCACGCATGTTCTTCAGACGCACCACCTTCCAGTATCCGTAATATCCGTAATATTTCGGATATTACATAATAGGTAGTCTGCGCGGATTACGACGCCCTGCAGAATTTTTGGATTATTGTTGTTTACGACCGCGTTGGAGATGGCCGCGCCACTTTCACAACCCGTTTCATCTGCTTACATAAATAGTGGCTTCGGAGCCACGCCTGAATGGTTGAATAAGGAAGATAACGCATGGCAATTGGCAGCCGCCACTTTGGTAGGAATTCAGAGCATGCCCGGCTTAGTCATCCTTTATGGCAGCATTGTGAAAAAAAAGTGGGCGGTGAACTCAGCATTCATGGCATTGTATGCTTTCGCAGCAACGGCGATTTGCTGAGTGCAAGATGTCCTTCGGAGAACAGCTGCTTCCAATCTGGGGTAAGGCGGGCCCTGCCTTGGGATACACATTTTTGCTATCACAGGCGGGCATGCCATCCACCGAGCACCTCCACGGAGACGGTACAATTCAGACGCAAGCTCGAACTGCACGTTATGGAATGGCCGATATGGTCTTGTTCCAGTTCTTCTACGCTGCTCTCACGATTATCATGTTGGCTGGTTCCGTCTTGGGGCGCATGAATTTCCGAGCATGGATGTTGTTCGTGCCGCTTTGACTCACATTCTCGTACACAGTTGGAGCTTTTACCATGTGGGGAGGCGGATTTCTGTGGCAATGGGGAGTCATTGACTACGCCGGGGGCTATGTCATTCATGTTTCCTCCGGTGTCGCTGGCTTCGTTACAGCCTACTGGGTATGCTTATATATCTCACTAATACTGCTGATGCTATTCAAGCCCCATGCTCAAGTTTACGTTTCAGAATTGGTGGACTTGTAGCTAACGTTGCTATGGTTCCATTGTAGGTGGGACCGAGACTACCCAAGGATCGTGAGAGATTCCCTCCCAACAACATGCTGCTTATGCTTACAGGTGCAGGGCTGTTATGGCTGGGGTGGTCAGGTTTCAGCGGAGGGGCGGCTTTCAGCGCTCACATAGTCTCCGGTTTAGCTGTTGTTAATACCCACGTATGTGCCTCCATGAGCATGTTGACGTGGACTGCCATGGATGTGTCTTTCTTTGGAAAACCTTCTGTCATTGGTGCAGTTCAAGGCGTGATGACTGGCCTCGTTGTCGTCACTCCTGCTGCAGGTAAGCGTGTTGTTTTCGGCAACGTCTACATACGCCTGTGCATCTTTTACGTTTACATGACTGTTCTCGGAGAAATTTGCAGCTGCAGAATTTCTATGTATTTGGACGATTGATCAGGTTAATGTGTGCAGGTTTGGTGCCGGGATGGTCTGCTTTGATCATGGGGCTTTTAGCAGGAAGCATCCCCTGGTGGACTATGATGGTACTCCACAAGAGATGGTGGTTGCTTCAAAAAGCAGACGATACGTTGGGTGTAATTCATACGCACGGTGTTGGAGGGATATTGGGCGGCATCTGCGTTGGCCTGTTCGCCGATCCCACGCTGTGCAAATACATGCATGTGGCCAGAGAGCACACCAACGGGGCATTCTATGGGGGTAATGGAGGCCTCCAGGTTCTGAAGCAGCTCGTTGGCGCTCTTTTCATCATAGTATGGAACTTAATCTTCGCCTTGGTTATCCTCTTCGCCATCGGGCTCATCACACCGCTCCGCTTGTCAGAGGAGCACTTGTTAGTCGGTGACGACGCGGAGCATGGTGAGGAGGCATATGCGCTTTGGGGAGATGGTGAGAAAATAGATGGCGTGAAACACCCCGCCCCACCATTGCTGCAGAGTTTGAGGAGCGATGCGCTGCGACATATGCCGATCGCTCAGCAACTTTGCACATCTGAGCAAATTCAATTGCTCCATTCTCTAGCGGAGACATGCCTTTACATCATCCTTTGTTAAGATTGCGACAAGTCAGGATGTATACAGTCACTTCTGAAGACGTTCGTTTTTGTCCGCCTGTGACGGACAATTCATGTCCACCAGATCAGCTATGGACATATTGTTTCGATCCGTGTAGTGGATTTCAAAATATGCTTTTGTTCCGCTTTTCGATCCATTCACCTACAGATCCATGGAACTGCCTCACGCATGGCAGCTCGTAGTATACTCCAAAGATATGCTACCAAAAACAAGAAAGAGTCTTTTCACTCGATTGAAAGTGTGCATGCTCGAGTGGAGTAGATTAAATCGTCTGCGAGAAAAGAATCGGTGTCCACAGAAGTACACTTACTGTCTCGCATGTTTCACTGAGCAGCTTGCCATACATCACGGTGTCATGTCCTGTGCCATCAATATTGGCTTCTGAGCTAGCAACCTGTCCGACCAGAATGGTGGATGAGATTAGTTGTTTAGACTAGATTAGAACTGCATAAACCTCAGATCTGTGCTGAAAATCAACGTGCATTTTTGCACGTCTCTCAGAATGTTTTTTTCTTTTTCTTTTTCTTTTCACAAGGTTGTTTTTTAAAGCTGAAATTTGTGACTGATTTTCACAGCATGAACATTGAACTCTGATCTGCTTGCTTGCAGATCGTTTACTCGTATCCTTTGGTCATGACGTGAAATATATGTGTGCATGCCTTTATTTCAAGCACCTAAATAATGGTATATGTAAACCACGGCTTTGAAACCACATTGCTGAGATAGTAGTTTTTAATATAGAACACGTATCTTGAGCTTTTTAGAGTGGTCGCATTCTAGAGAAATGAATGACTGGTCTGTCTTCTTCTCAAGTTGATTACAGCAGTATCTTTGTCTTGCTGCAGCATTTATTCAGCGAACGCTGAGGCTGGGCTGTTATTGTCTTTACAGTTAATATATTAAAATGATAGTTCATACTAGATGTGAGAAGAAATGTTTCCTAGTTCTTGACCAACTAGGAAAGAAGCTGAGGGTTGTGAGCCAAACCCTTTGTATAGTAAATGTATTCAATTTAGTATTTTGTCTTGTGCAGCACTGGTGTAACTCTCAGCAAAGGTAGTTTATTCCATGCAATGACTTGCAAGTTTGACTCTAATTAATATTGATTAGCCATGGCTATAATGTATTGCAAACCTTAGCAAATATCACAAGCATATTTTTAATGTGTATTGAGCATAGCTTGAGTCCAAGAACATTTCTTTCCTTGAGTTAATGACTTATGTGGAAGTTGTTTTTGGCAATTCTTCCTTTGCACTACCAACTTATAAGGCTACTCTAGAAATTCGGATGCACTTGTAATATTAATGTAAATAAGCACACATCTTTGAAATTTATCTTCTTTACATATTTAGCTTGAAGACTAATGATTGTTTATCTTAATGATTGTTTTGGACTAGAAGAATAAATGGATAAATGTTTAATAGAAAATAAAGAAGTCAATGAAAATGAGCTAACATAAAAAATTGTGGAGAGTAAGACTTTTTAATAGAATAAAAAAAATTGTAATTATTCAAAAAATATGAATAAAAAGCATGAAGAAGGCTAAGTAGAAAAGTCATTGGCTATTTTTAAAATTTCTATCTAAATTTGTCTTCTTTTAGTTTGATAAAAGACAATTTATAATAATAATAAACAAAGTGAAAATATTTTGTTGTTAAAAAGAACCTTCTCTACTACAATAGAATCTTGCTTGGTATATTTTGCAAATCTTGTATTTTATTTTATGTTATATGCTCTAATACATTTTTGTATTGTAATCTTCTTATCTAATCCTTTGCTAAATGATAATATTGCCTCTTCTCTCTCTCTCTCTCTCTCTCTCTCTCTCTCTATATGTATATATATATATATATATATATATATATATATAGATATATATAATCCTTAATGAATTCAATATATAAGTTGAAAGTAGTTTTAGATGTTGATCTAATATTAGTTATTGTATACTTCTTACTAAGTCTAAGGTGATTGAAATATTTTGAAGGTAGTTATTAAAATATCATTTGCATATTTTTTAACATTATCTAAAATCACTTTTATGGTATTTTTAATATTTTTTATTATATATACATATATATGTATGTATATATATATATATATATATATATATATATTACAAAGTAGCTTTTGTTAAATATATTTTGTAAGATTTAAACCATTTGAAATATTATAAATTCCTATTATAAATCTATATACTTCAAATAATGCACATATTATTTTTTTAATATCATTAATCATTTGAAAAATCAAAGTACAGGTATGTTCTAAAAATACTAATATGAATAGGTAATTATAATAAAAAAATATAAAACATATGATATTATCTACTAAGTGATAAAAATAATAATATAAGATGTAGGAATTAAAAAAATAATAATATAATAGAAAATAATTCAGCCTAGAAGAAAAATAAATGAATAAAAAAAATAGTATTTAAAATTTAAACTTCAACTACATCTAAAAGAATCATAGCATAAATAAATTTTATACTATGATTCTTCAATTCATTTATGCTATTATTCTTTTAAAATTCTAATATATACATAATAATAGATTTAATCATAAAAATATATTTTATTTATGTTGGTATATCAGATACTTAAAATATTGCAATAAAAGATAGTTAGTATGAAATTATATGTGCATTTTTGTCATAAAATGATTATAGTATTTTTGGTATTATTTATTTTCTTTAATTATTATTATTATTATTATTATTATTATTATTTGTTTTTTTCATTGTTCAATAAAAGCCAAAATAAGCTTATAAAGTTTCTTTTTATTTAATTAACTATCAAATCTCATTGTATTTATTCCTTACATTCAAATTTGTAATATTTAAATTTAAAAAACATACTTCTAATTTTAATAATTTATAATATATATATTTTTTGATAATACAGGTTTTAGTATATTAATGCATTAAACATATCATGATGTGTATAGTAAAATATAGAGAGTAGTTTTATTTTAAATTCTAAAAAAATCTATAGGACTTTAATATATATATAGATATAGATATATATATATATATATATATATATATATATATATATCATGTATATTTTATAAAATATAAATTTTAAAAATGGTTTAGTTGCATTATTACTATGCTTTAAGTTTATTTTTATTTTTTTTAATTCTTAATTTTTTACCATGTTTATTTATTAACTTATTCATGTTTGTGATATAATAATTGTACCATCATCAATAATGAAATTATTATTTATAATTATAATAATATTATTTGTTATGATTTTTATAATTTATTGTAATAATCATATAATAGTATGTTATGTACAATATAACATATTTTCATCCAATGTATAAAAAAATTACTATATTTTTTATGTTATAATTGATTATATAAACTATATAAGTTTTAAAATTGTCTTCTTAACTTAACAATATGTTAAAGTTTAACTTATATAAATGTATGGTAAGTGCTTAAAATAATATTATCCATTAGCAAAGATTAACATATATATATACTACTTAAAAGTAAATATTTTTTATGAAATTAATTTTAGTTATAATTTTTCTATAAACTTTATTATAATTTATTAAACTAAAATACCTACATGATTATACATTTTTTTTAATATAATTATATAGAATAATCGAAATTATAATTTTTTTTATAAGTACATGCTAATAAAATGTAAGTATAAATAACTAATATTTATAGTTTTATATATAATACTTAGTTATTTTATTGATATTTTATAAGTTTAAAATTTTAATTATATTTCAATTCATAAATAATTCAATAATTTAGATTTTAATACCAAATAATTTAGCATTTATTTAACAAGATGTACCAATTTTTTAATATCTAAATTTAAATAATGCTACATCTAATTGATATTTGATATGTGCTTGTCGAACATGTTTAAATTTTTAATAAAAATAATAAGTTTTTAACGTGGTCAAATTAATTATAAAAATAGTCTAAAATAAATTGTAAATATTCGTTTTACAATGCAATTGAAAAATGTTTAACTATACATACAAAAAATATTAGTGTTTTGTAATTTAAGATTACTTATAAATTTTCAAATATCTAAAATTTTAAATATTCAATAAATATAAACTTTTAGGAAATACTAATAGTCATTCAGATCAAGGTTTATACCAAGTTTGAGTAGAATTATATCAAAAAATTATTAGATTTAGCCATTTGAAGTCTTTATCAAACTTGGAGTCAAAAGAAAAGCAATACCACAAGGATTTTTGCAAGTTCTTTCAATTAGTATGTTGAATTTGTTTCAAAATTTCTAATTAAATAGTTAATTAAAAAAATATAGTAATGTAATTTTTTAGAGTTCTAAGTGCTGTAAATTACTTCATAATAGCCATTTTAAATGCTCAAATAAAAAATAAAATTTTAAATACTAAAAAATAGTAGAAGAAGTTATAACTTATACACTTATATTTTACAAGAATACGTTGACATGATACAAGGATTTGTGCTATAGTAACAAATTAGTGTTAAAAAAACTTCTCATAATACTTAAGCATTGAGAAGATATTTTTTTTACTTAATACAATTATTTATAGTCAAAGCAAAGACAAGCAATGGTAAATGCTCTAATAAAGAAAAGATAGAAAAAATCATGGTTAGTTAATGCCTTGAGTTGGATCTTTTGAGTAAAAATATTTTAAATGCTCTTCCTTCTTTTAATCTTTTTTGTCAAAAGACATTTAAATTGGAATTTATAAGATAGTATTAAACTTTTGTGTTTTCCAATTATTCTCAAAATTTGTAGGTTTGGCAAAGAATAAATGGAAAAAAATAATAATGATAAGTTGCAATTATCAAGAAAAAATTGCATGAAAATGCCTAAATTTTGTTATCTTAATATATTATTTAATATAAAGTTAAATATGATTTTTTTATAGAAAATAAAATACTAATTTTAATTTTTTATTGATTATGTAGCTGCATATATAATATAAGATTCAAGTGAAATATATTGAAATTCAAAAAAATAAGCATTGTAGTGAGGGAAGACAAGACCATCAAATATTCCTTTGGCTTGATTCAAGGTTTTAAAATTTGGAATTAATTACATTTATATATTAAATCCAAATTTTATAAAAATATCAATGATGTTTGCATATTCATATTTTTTCAAATCAAATATCTTATAGAAAATATGAATTCATTTGTAGACAACAAAATTTTAAAAATCACTCTTAAAGTTGTTTTATCTAATCATCTAGGTATAGCCAATGAATACTATTTTAAAAGGTATGTAAAAAAATATTATTTTTTGAAAAAATTATTATATATTCTATTTAGATGTTATTTATAAATCTAAGAGAAAGAAAAAAATAAAAAATATTGCTCAGAAAAAATCATAAAATTTAAAATAAATTTTAATAAAAGATAAAATAAGTATTTAAAGATTATTTAGATTTTAACTTTAATTAGAAGATTATTGTTATGGGAAGTAGAAATTTGGCATTTTAATAGGAATAATTTAAAAACAGATAAAGATCTTTGCTAGAATTAATAATTTAATATTGATATCAAGATTTTGTATAAACAAAAAATATTTAATTATTATTTCTAAAAAACTCATAGATTTATTAAAGCATCTATTTATAAAGTTTA